ATTGAAAGATATGTACTTATTGCCATTGCAGGCTTTAGATTCGTGGTTACCAAAGGTTCAAGATTAGCTTCTTTACTACCTTACTAACTTAACTCTCTTATTGAGCTATTATAAACACAGTCTGATGATTATTTCTCTCCCTTCTTATTCCTCCTCCTCCATTCTTCATATGTTGGGTGTTTTGTTCGTGCTGTTTTTAGGAGTGCTCCCATCTAGAGCAGTCCCTCTAAAATACCCTGTAGAGGTGGTTTGTGGCAGACAAATTCCCTCAACCTTTGCTCACCTGGGAATTGTTTAATCCATCCTTCATATTTAAATGATAATCGTGCTGGATAAAGTATCCTTGGTTCAAGGCCCTTCTGTTTCATTGCATTAAATATGTCATGCCATTCTCTTCTGGCCTGTAAGATTTCTGTTGAGAAGTCTGATGATAGTCTGATGGCTTTTCCTTTGTAGGCAACCTTTTTTCTCTCTGTGGCTGCCTTTAATATTCTGTCTTTGTCCTTGATCTTTGCCATTTTAATTATTATATGTCTTGGTGTTGTCCTCTTTGGGTCCTTCTGTTGGGATTTCTGTGTGCTTCCGTAGTCTGAGCAACTATTTCCTTCCCTAGTTTGGGGAAGATCTGAGCAGTTATTTCTTCAAAGATACTTTCTATGCCTTTTTCTCTCTGTTCTTCTTATGGTACCCCTGTAATGCAGATATTGTTCCTTTTGGATTGGTCACACAGTTCTCTTAATATTCTTTCATTCCTGGAGGTCCTTTTATCTCTCTCTGTGTCAGCTTCTATGCGTTCCTGTTCTCTGGTTTCTATTCCATCAGTGGCGTCTTGCATCTTATCCATTCTGCTTATAAATCCTTCCAGAGATTGTTTCACTTCTGTAATCTCCCTCCAGACGTCATCCCTTAGCTGTTGTATATTTCTCTTCAGCTCCATAAGCATGTGTATGATTTTTATTTTGAATTCTTTTTCATTAAGACTGGTTAGGTCTATCTCCTTCTCAGGTGTGTCAAATTTTTCTGCCTTTTCATGGCGATAGAGAGAGTTTGCGGAGCTGGCGAAAGTGATGGCTGGGAGAACATCCCTTTTTGTTGGTTTGTGGCCTTCCTCTCCTTGGAGAACAGCGACCTCTAGCAGTTTGTGCTGGGCAGCTGCGTGCAGGCAGGGCTTCTGATTCTTGCCTGGCCACTGTGAAATTTAGCTCCACGTTTGCTGTGGGCATTGCCTGCCTTGTGCTGCTGCTCCCATATGGCGGATCCACGTCAGAGCCATGTCGGGGGGAAACGGCGGGAGGCTGTTTATCTCCGTGAGGGGCCTCCGAGCTGCCCTGCTGTCCAGGGTTTAGGGTGCCCAGAGTTCCCCGGGATTCTCAGCTGCTTGGCTAAGTGTCCCGGGACGCTTCCGTCCAGCTGTGGGGGCCCTGTCCCTTTAAGACTTTCAAAAAGCACTCGCTTTTCTTTGTCCCAGGGGCGCTGGCTGCAGGGACCTGCTCACAGGTCTTACTGTCCTGTTTCCCTAGTTTCCCGCACCCCACGCACGCACTGTATCTGCACTCTGGTGCGGATGACTAGAGCTGGCTATTTAGCAGTCCTGGTCTCCCTTCGCACCCCGCTCCGACTCCTCTCCTACTGCCGGGAGCTGGGGTGAGGGGCGCTTGGGTCCTTCGAGGCTGTGGCTTGTATCTTACCCCTTTCGTGAGGCGCTGGGTTCTCGCAGGTGTGGATGTAGTATGGCTGTTGTCCTGTGTCTTCTGGTCTCTCTTTTAGGAAGAGTTGTATTTGTTGTATTTTCAAAAATATATGTGGTTTTGGGAGGAGATTTCCGCTGCTCTACTTATGCCGCCATCTTGACTCCACCTCCCATTTTAATCTTTTTAAAAAATTTGTCGGGAACATTTTAGGTTCTTTTCAAACTCATACAATGTCTTTAAAATCTACCTCATGCTAAGCATAGTTTTTTCTCCTTTCAGTAGAATATTTACTTGGATATATTTAAAGGAACATGAGATCTGCTATGCAATGAATAATTCATTTAAAGATGTCATTCTTACGGCTTTGCAAGTTTACCAACTCTCTGTAAACCAAAGGATCAGTTTCACTCTGGGTGGACAATGCCAGTGGTAGGAGCCTTGAGCTGTAGACTTAAATACTTGGGGGCCTTACCATAGCGTTATTGGCTCTAGCAAGGGCTGATGTGATGTGGATCTTCAGGCATGTTTATGGAAGGCTCTTTGGTAAATATCACCAGCTGATTAGCTTAGGCAAGGCTAGTGCACATTGGATCATATTTATTAAGAAAAGCAGTTCTGATGGTTAAAAATTTTACTGCATGTATATTAACAGACAAACCCAGCACAGTGTTAGGTATCATTGCTAGGTAAGAATCATTAAAGAACATCTGAATGTAGCATTTGGGGCCTTGCTAACCCTAGCCCTGTGATCTCAAACAGGCATTATGTCTCTCCTGGCTCCCTTGCATAGCTAAGGAAAGGGGTTAGGTAATTTAGCCCAAGACAGATGATTCCATATTATTTTAGTTTAAGAAGAATCCCAACATTTCTGAGTATTTTGGGGAGTAAAACTTGGCTGCCTCTGGGCCAGGGGGCTTGTTATTTAATGCATCTTGGTCAGTGGGGGAATCTCGGGGTGGGGCTGTCCCTGGGTGATTGCAAATGAGGAGACAAGGTCCTGATCTATGAATTGCACATGGTCTCATATTGGAAATGAAAGAATCACATGAAATGATTGAGTGGTTGGGTGAGTGCCTGTGTGCTAAGAGCAGAGCAGATAAACATATGAGTACCTGTCATTGGTAGCACTTGGCACCTGGCAGGAGGATGTGGGTGAGCCAGGTGGAGGCTCTTGGACAGGACTTTATAAGCGTAAGGTGGTGGTATGGACTCTGCTTTGTGAGTTGTGGGATGTCACTGAGATTTTTGAGATGGAGCTTGACTAGGTATAGAGGTTTTTTAAGGGCAAGTAGCTTATGGTGGCACCGGGGATGGCTGAGGGAAGGTGGGACATGGTAGGTAGCCTCAACACATGGAGAAGTTATTGCTAGTTTGATATTTAAGGTAAATCCCTGGAGGTGCCCCATCAAAGGGCATGCCATTGAGCTTTCTGAAACAGGTCACTAAATCTCCCTACTAAAAGATGATCATCCTTCTTGGGTCTGTTGAAATTTAAGTGAAATTAGAAGACATATATGTGATGGTAAAGAGTTGTGCTTTAACAGTTTTTAAGTTAAAAACATTTTTTTCTTTTAAGGTTGTAGAAGGAACACCTCTTGCTGATGGAAGAAGACTCAAGTATAGATTAAATGGTGAGACTCAAATTGATGACTTAATGGCTCCAAATTTTTGAGTGTTGTACACTTTAAACTGTCAGAGCTTGACACACTGAGTAGTACATAGTAAGTCATGTCTTAGTAGGCTGAAGGACTCATAGATAAACTGCTCACACCTGCAGCCAACATTTTAGTTGGCCTGTAAAGTGACAGCCCCTTTCCTGTTACCCAATTTTGTTTCCTCAGTAGCCTTTATCACTAAGTGAGGCCACTTTGTCCGTGTTTTTGATCCCCCTGAGTTGTTACTAGGACCTGAGAAGTCCTGTGCTCCCGCCCTTGGGGGGCTGCCGGGCTGCTTCCTATGCTCCAGCACCAAACTCCAACCTCTCTTAGATGTGTCCTCAGTGCTTTTGCCAGAAAACAGTCTCCAAAACGTCTGATGGCAGCTTTTTCATCCCTGAGCTCAGAGAAACCCTTAGGCCCCTTTGTCCCCTTGCCCAATTTATTTCTATGACAGTTGTGCCTTCCTCACATCACAGTATTGTCTGCTCTTTGGAGTCTCCCCATAGAAGGTGGCTTCAGGGACTGGGACAAGGCTGTGGTACCTTGGGGACAGCCAGGTGCTGGCCCAAGGAGGCACTCATTAATAAGAGGAAGTCATGAGCAGATGCAGCCTCCTGACCTGGCCCTCCCATAGAGGAGTGGGTACTAAATAAGAGGACCAGGCCAGGGTTGCCAACCCAGATGTGGATAATTTCAGTTAACTTGCTTTTAAGAAATAGGCGTGTTATGTGTATGTGGTCATCCTTAAGTAATCTTCCATTTTAACCAGATTGAGTAAACTATTCTCCTTCGCTTGGGAATTACACTGTAAGTTTTGATTCTTGGCCTTTTTATCCCATCACCTCTTGCCTTTCCAGCTTTGCACACTTGAGTGACTTACCGAGCATCTGCTCTCTGGAATCTCTCTCCTGGACTCTTCGCAGGGAAGCCAGAGGTAGTTTAGATGCCTTCCACCTTTCGTGTGCAGTGGTGTAGGCCTGGAACCTGGCTCAGCACTTGACCGCTGCGACTGCACAGCACTTAGTTGCTGCTGTCAGAAGCCTTCTCTACTTTCACCATGTTCCTTGCTGCGGGCCCCGGTTTCAGGTCTCCAGCTCCCCCACCTGTCTGTGTCTCTGTCTTTCTCATGTGCCTTGCAGCTCCTGGGGCTGAGGGTATTTTTCCCTCTGGTCTGTTGCTACGCGTGTTTTGTGGGATTCTCTCCAGTGGTGATGCACCTGTGTTTGAAGTGGGCCTATTTTCTGTCCCTGCTGCCCTTTGGGCTGTGGCGCTGAGTCTGAGCCAGGACCTGGGCTTGCAGCTGCCAAGGTGGGCGGATGGTGGTTGGACTAGTGGCTTGATCCTACTTTTTAGAATTTCCTAATCTGGTTCCTCTGTTTCTAGTATGGTGAGATTCTACTATGATAAACTAAGGAGTTACTGAGAGTTTGAATGATGAAATCCACATAGAAATACAGAGCCAGAAACTGCTTCATCTTCCATTCTTTTTCTTTAATATTTGTAAATTTATGAGAGTTAAGTGAATGTTTTAAATTAAAGGAAAAGTTAAGTTACTCTTTGGAGTAAACCTGATATGTGGAAAATGTGGATTTAAATAATACATTAGAGATGATCATTTTACTTTACAAAAGCTTTGGTTTTAGAATTCTTATATATAACAGCTACCTCTTTTCTGTGTTTGACTATTTATCAAATACAGCTTGGCGACTCACTCAGAATACCACTCTTGTGGGCACTCAGCTCCTGAAATCAAAACTACTTACTTCTTTAGTCAAAGAAAAAGAGCCTGGTCGGTGCAGCAGGGCTAGCTCCAAGCAGAAGTCCTCCTGTGGGGCCTCCCAGGGTAGCTTTACATTTGGAACTGATATGTGCCCGTCTCCACCCACCCAGAGGACCTCAGTCCCCTGCTTGGTCTCGGGGGCATTCCTGTCTGGCCTCTTCTTGAACGGCAGGGTCTTGAGATCTGTATTATGGGTGGCAGAATGACTAGAATCTTTGGAAATGATTACCGATAAGTTATTTCTAGTAAAAATATTTGTAATTTCTTAACTAGTAAGATTACTGGAAAGACTTTAATTTTGGGCAGTATAGATGTTGGGATTGTAGAGTGTGTGGTTTTTGTTTTTGAAGATGAAAGGTCGTTCTCAGTTTTTCTTTTGCATGCACTGTAATGATGGTCTACTACCTGACTGGCCTGATTTAAATCATCTGGTTCTTTTTTTTTTTTGAGAGGGCATCTCATATTTATTGATCGAATGGTTGTTAACAACAATAAAATTCTGTATAGGGGATTCAATGCACAATCATTAATCAACCCCAAGCCTAATTCTCAACAGTCTCCAATCTTCTGAAGCATAATGAACAAGTTCTTACATGGTGAACAAGTTCTTACATAGTGAATAAGTTATTACATGGTGAACAGTGCAAGGGCAGTCATATCACAGAAACTTTCGGTTTTGATCATGCATCATGAACTAAAACAATCAAGTCAGATATGATTATTCGTTTGATTTTTATACTTGTTTATATGTGAATCCCATATTTCTCCTTTATTATTATTATTTTTTTAATAAAATGCTGAAGTGGTAGGTAGATGCAAGATAAAGGTAGAAAACATAATTTAGTGCTGTAAGAGGGCAAATTTAGATGATCAGGTCTGTTCCTATAGACGAAGTATTAATCCAAGCTAGACAAGGGCAACAAAACATCCACGGATGCAGAAGATTTCTCTCAAAATGGGGGGTGAGGTTCTAAGCCTCACCTCTGTTGATCCCCAGTTTCTCACCTGATGGCCCCCCTGCGACTGTGCCTGTCTTAGGTTGTTCCTCCCTTGAGGAATCTTACCCGTCTCTGGCTAATCAGTCATCTTCCGGGGCCATACAGGGAAATGTAAAGTTGGTAAGTAAGAGAGAAGCAATATTCTTTGAAAAGGTTAGCTTTTTACTTCTTTGCAGATTTATGCCCTGTGGCTTCTGTGCCCAGCATTTGTCTTGAGATATCTTTACCACTTGGAAGAATTATGATACTCAGTAATTTTTGATATGAGGCACGAATTCTACTAAAGGGTTGTAATTAGGAAGGAAGAAGAAAAGCTATAGAAGTAGCAGACGGAAGAAAACATGGGAAGATTATTTCTTTGACATATCTTCTTGTAGAGTAACATAAGCGTTTATGGGTTTTAACAAACTACTAATTAAATTGCGTACACACATTAACAGAATAGGAATACAGATACATAACAAAAGCAGACCTACAATTACCAGCCATATCCAGTGAAACCAAGAAGCTGACATGAATTTTTGCATTTGTTTTCAAGGGTTCTTTGCCTTTGTGCTGACGTCTGTCCTCGTGGGCACAGCTGTCTCCCAGGGCATGGAGCTTCACCGCGTGCATGGGCACCTCCTTCAGCTGGCGCTGTCTGCCACCTTGGTGGCTGCAGTCCTGAGTGTCTACCTGCACGTGCGGGCGCGGGGGGTACCCTGCGAGGCACTGGCTCTCGCCAGCTCCGGTGAGCAGGGTGGCCCTGCAGGCTTTCCCTAGTGCCAGTGAGAAGACATGCAGAGAGGCAAATAATGGGCTGAAGTTTAAAGGAAGGAAAGATATTTGATTTTCCCTCATCCATGCCTATTCATTTATTTTCCTTTTTAGTTACTTGATGGCATAAGACATTTTAGTAACTTATAAGTTACATTTGGGTGACACTAGTAGCATCACAATTTATGGCAAATACTAGTTTTTGTTCCAAATAGTAAACATCCTTAAAAAAATGAAACATAAACAACAAAGTAACAGAGATTATAAATCAAAGTAGCATATTATAAATCAGTTGATTCTGACTTAAAAGTTCTTAAACACTAAAAACGATTACTGCTTATTTTTTAAAATTGTCAGTCTACATTTAAGAAAACCTCCAGTTCCTTTACAGGCATCTGGCCCTGTGGGTCCCATGCCATGTAGCAGCAGGATGCTTCCGTGGGGCCGGGGTGTCTGGGCCCCCTCCCCTCGGACCCCCATGCCTCCCCTGGTGGGCTGCGTGCCAGGCTCCTGAGGCAGTTAAGACCCACTGGGAGTTCTGAGCCTCATAATGGGCTTGGTAGTGCTGTTTGCATAAGGACTTTTCTCTTCTCAAGGGAATGCCATCTATGATTTCTTCATTGGCCGTGAGCTCAATCCTCGCATCGGCACGTTTGATCTCAAATACTTCTGTGAATTGCGCCCGGGATTGATTGGATGGGTATGTTTGTTTTTTTCAGACTATAAGTTCAGTAGTGCAAAGTAGTCTTGCATGTAGGAAGAATTATAGATAATTTTAAAGTAAGCTGTGGGTGGTGTGTTTTTAGGAAAAATTATAGCTTCCCATAAATCTGTCTACTTAAAATATTTTCCTGTTGTAAATATAGTCCAGTGGGTTAAGATGCCCTGATACAGGTTATTAAACAGTATGAGAGTTTGTTTTATTTTGGTTATATCTATTTATATTTATGTAGGAAAATGATAGTGTAGGTGAATTAATCTGAGAAAATATTAATTTTCTCCCACTTAAAAAGCTCCTGTGTCTGCTCTAGTCTAGTGGCTTAGCCTCTCCTTGCTGCCTGTGACCTGAACACTTGAAGAGTACTGGCCAGTTATCTTGTAAGGGGGTCCTTTCATTTGGTTTTGTCCAGTGTGTTCTCAGGATTGGAGGGAGGAAAGCATCTTTGACAGTACTACCAAAACGACCCTGTCCTCCTCAGCCTGTGGCCTCTGTGCCCGGTGGTGACAGCGCCTTACCCTGCAGGCCCTTCTTGGTGAGGTGGTATCTGCAGGCCTCAGTGTCTTCTGTGCTCCCTTTGTTGCAGTTGGTCATTAACCTGGCGATGCTTCTGGCTGAGATGAAGCTCCATAGCCATGCTGCCCCGTCCTTAGCCATGATCTTGATTAACAGTTTCCAGCTCTTGTATGTGGTGGACGCTCTCTGGAATGAGGTAACTGTGAGCCAGAGCCTTGGAGGCAGATGGCTCAGAGCATGGGTGAGGGGCCTGCCCTCTTGGCTTCTCACCGAGTGAGGAGGAGGCAGCCACCTTCCCCTTGGGGGTCCTGTGGTGAGCTGCCCGGGAGCTCTGGCAGATAGTCAGTGTAGAGGAACTGGGTGATTGTCTGTGCACATTGGCTGCTCCTCTAGGTGCTAAATATTTAGGATCTGGGATCTTGGCTTTGTGAGTGATCTGTATAAATGAAATTTAATTTCTTAATTGTTATGTCACATGACAGTGGATGGAGACAGATTATCATTGAATTAGAATAGTGCTTGGATTGTCAAGAGGCAGCTAATTCTTAAGTAACGATGTTTTATTGTTGGTGTTTTAAAATACAAATGGTAGCTCTAATTAGATGGGTATAAAATCAGAACATGATACACTGAGGAAACCTGTTTAAATAAGCTGAGTTCCTAGTGTGACTTTCATTGTGTGTTGTAAGTCATCAGTTTTCTGCTATTGGAAGACTTGGTAAGTGTTTTGCTACTCTTCCCTGTCTCGATGAACATATTCCTCTTAAAAATAACTTATTCCACAGACTGATTTTACAGTGTTTTATCATATTTACTCTTAGCTTTGTGATTATCTCTTCCAAGTTCCAAGTTTTTCACTTTCAAAACCAAAATTGGCAGCCCTGCATTATAATGTTCCAATATAAGTTTTCATTGCATTCTGTTGACATTTTCAGAGAAAAGTCCCTCTTCTTTGAATGAGGCATACTTTAAGAACTGATTATTTGGTCATTGATACTTTGCCCCCCAACCCGGCACTGGGGTTGGTCTCTAATTCTGGCCTCATGGGATGTAGGGGGCGCTCTGTCAGAATGACTTCTTAGTTCAGCAACCTTCCTTACCTTTGGGAGCATTAGCACCTTTTCAGGAAAACAAGCCTCAATTACAAGTAGTTGGATTACAGATTCTTGTAAGGCTCCTGCCAGTTAACCAGAGACCTGGGCTCTGAACTCTGAAGGCTGCGGAGATAGAGTTGCATAGCGTCTGCTGTTGGCATCCTCAGAAAACTCCAGGCCAGCTCCTGGTGTTGTGCAGGGTGGGCCTTTCTGCCCACATGGGAATGGTTCCTGGGAAGCAGGTAGATTCAGCTCACAAACCAGGAGATACTGTTCTTACCATCTGTTTTTCTTTAAACTTCTTTTCTGATAGTTCTTCTTATGTTAGTAACTCTCCCTTCTAGCTTTCTGTCATTTAATGGTAGACACTTTTTAAATGGCTTAGAAATTAATACTTTCTAGAGATTTAGCCAAATGTTGACTTCTTTTAATGAACAGAAAATGCTTGTATCTTAAGGCAAAGCTTGAGAGCAGTTTTTCTCACAGCCCCAGGTTGCAGAGGGCTGGAGTCGGGAGGTCAGCAGTGTGCCAGCCTGATCATAGGATGCTTCTTGAGAAGGGGACTTGATTTTATGATTTTCTGACATGCTGCTGGGAAACTTGTTGATGCTTAATAATTTTCTTCGTGGGTTGATAGAAATTCTCTATTTTCGAAAATACCAACTTCAGAAACTGAGAATAGTGATTTAAGTGGAAGTGACCCTTGTTCTGAGCCTCTGCTGGGCTGGACTGCGAATGCCCCATGGCCCCTGGCCCTGACTGGGTGGGGCTGGGGCCCTGCCCCTCCTGGCCGCAGTTGTCCATACCTGTCCCCTCACTGTGCACCGAAGCTCCTGTGCCACTGCATCAGCTTTTCTCTCCCAGCTTTAGTCTGTCTTGGCCCAAGAGCCCAGACTGCTGGTCTTCAGTGCCTCTGTGTGTAAGTCTTGGCCTCCTTGACTACAGCCCCCTACAAACTCAGAGTTTGTGACATCCATTTTTCTGTTTATCATTTTCTTTCTTTCTGGGAAGAAGAGTCCTTTGGCTGTGTCCTCTTTCTTTAACCTAGACCACTGGCTCTTCAGCAGGGCTTATACGTGCTAATTGCTCTGCCTTATTGGTTCCATGAGGTCAGAGGCCGCCACGCCTTCAGAGTTTTGACCTTGGTGGTGTCTCCACATTCCATGGTCTGGCCTGTAGGTGTCTAGGCCCAGAGATGGGCTGGCTCCTAGTTGCTCAGGCTAACCAGGCCACAAGAGGGCATTCACATTTGTTGACTTACTGTGAGAAGAGAAGTGGGCTGTTTGTTCACCTGGTTGCTGGGTAGTTTATTCTCTTGGGTGGAGAATCTACGTGAAAAGCCAGATTATGATCAGACATGAGGTGGTGCTCATGGCATTGAAGCCAAGGCAGTCGACAGCCCTCCCAGTCCTTCAGCTAATGCTGTGTGCGCTTACAGCAGGCCAGCCGCCTGCTGTGCCCAAGGGGGTGGGCGGGCCCCACAGCCTGATCTTAGCACCTAGGGCAGTGGGGAGAGCCGCAGGCAGTCCCAGTACAAAGGGCACGTTCACCCTCACGCAGAGGCAGATGGTAGCTTCTGAGAAGCAGCTTGTCTGATGAAGAGTCAAGGAAGGCAGCTCAGAGGAGGCCAAAGCCGTGTGGGACAAGGCTGTTCCAGGTGGAGGGACCAGCCCTGCAGAGCTGCGGAGGCATAGGGGCTGTTCCTGACATCTCTTATTTCAGGATCGACAGGGACAGCATAGTGACACGAGATGAATCCAGCACAATACCTTAGTGGGATACACAGGCCAAGGAAACCAGATTTCCCCTTCCCTCATTTACAAATATTTCGGTTGGTGTACCCTCACATAGCCTGTAAACTGGTACCTCACTTGAATGCTTCACACAAAATTTTCTCCTCCAGACGTTTCTTTACCTGTCTTCCTTCTGTGCAGGAAGCATTGTTGACAACTATGGACATCATCCACGATGGGTTCGGGTTCATGCTGGCTTTTGGAGACTTAGTGTGGGTTCCGTTTATCTACAGCTTCCAGGCCGTTTACTTAGTCAGTCATCCAAACGAAGTGTCTTGGCCAGTTGCCTGTCTGATTATCGCTCTGAAACGTGAGTCCTGATGTCAGTGTGTGTGTGTTAAGGGTGTGTTCCAAGTTTGGTGTGCTCTGTGCTTGTATGTTCATAACATGCCCTTTTCAGTGGCCATGACCAGCTGAAGTTGAAGCAGTTTGTGATGGATGAGGCATGAAAAGATTCTTGCATCCTGCATAGGGAACAGCTGCCTCAGTTTGGGATGTTTAGGAGTTCTCTAAACAGGTGGTTTTAAACAAACCCATTTTGTTTTTAAATTTAGTACGTTTAGTAAGTCAGTCTAAGTTTTTGTTTTAGTCAATGATTCCTGTGCTCAGATGAGTGTCTGCTCTCCTGGGCGACTCCTTGCCAGGTGAGAAGGTCGACCTTGGAGATGTAGCCTTCCACCGGAGGCATCCTGTGCATGGCCCTGGAGGGGTTCAGGGATGCGGGGTGGCCATGAAGTGGAGAGCTGCTCTCTGGGGAGCATTCCTGTGATCTGGGTAGGTAGATTTTGGGGGTAGAACACGCTGGGGAGGTTGGCAGGCAGGCGGAGGGAGCACCTCCTCGGGGGATTGGCCGGAAGCCCAGGCGGGTCTGGTGGAGCTGAGGCCCATCATGGGCACATGGGTAGTGCAGGTGGCCCATCTTGCATTACCCGGTTCCTCAGACGCCGGCCCTGGGAGGGAAGGTCGAGAGGCCTAGCAGCTGGCACTACTGCGTGGGTAGTGTCCAGGGTAGGAGGAGGAATTCTGGCCGTCTCTGCTTTGGTTGTCTTTACCAGCTGTGCTTGTATTCAAGATGGTCCATGTAGCTTTTATGGTAAAGCTAAAGGTGGGGGATAGAGGCACTTCTTATGCTGTAATGAGGGCTGACAAAGTAATAGCTGATAGGCAGTGATGGGTCAGTACCTGTGGGTTTTGATATTTTGAAATGTACACTAAGCCCTCAGCCTGTAGGCTTGCAGTGGACTTGGCGCCTGTGTCCCTGCATGGTGTGCGGCTGCTGTTTCTGAGATAGTCAGTGGAGTGTTCGTGTCATGGCTAGTAAGTCCCGTGATGAACATATTAGCTGCTCTGGATTCTTGATTATACTGAACTCGAGTATTGGTTGTTGTAGTGTGAGCTGTATTTGATTTTATTCATAGACGTGACTACATTTGTTAGTTCTGCCTTTAGGGTCTTCCCCAGGGGATGCGGAAAGCCCAGTGGTAAGGGGTTTCAGAGTGGTTATCTTGTTTGACATTCTGAGATCAAGAGGTTTTGAATTGTTCTTAAGACATCAAGCTGTTCCCTACCTTGGAGATTTCCTGAGCACAGAAATAATCTTTAAGTGAAATTATAGGTGCATAATACATTTTTTAAATTACAGTTTGTGGATATATAATCTTCCGATGTGCAAATTCTCAGAAAAATGCATTCCGGAAAAATCCCACTGATCCAAAGCTTGCACGTAAGTGTTTGCTTGTATCCATGTTAATTATATTACAGAGGGATTTTATGTCCATGTTTGCCTAGAGATCATTAAAAACGTGTTTTTATTTTTATATAGATTTAAAAACCATTCGTACATCAACTGGAAAAAATCTTCTAGTTTCTGGATGGTGGGGCTTCGTTCGCCATCCCAATTACTTGGGTGACCTCATCATGGCCCTGGCGTGGTCTCTCCCTTGTGGTAAGCATTTAAGAAGATTTGCTAATTTGACTCTTTCTTCAGATACCTGCCCTGGCAGGGCAGTGAGTGACCTGGGGTGACCCTGTGGAGGCAGAAACTGCCTCTTGTTGCATCTATCCAGCTTCTGAGGGGATGGGATTCACAGCCTGATGCTAACTCCCAGCTTCTTCAAACATAATGTTAAGTTTCAAGATGTGCCTGCTAGCTTCTTCTCTAAGCAGAGTGTATGGAAATTAATTTACCATTTCATTCATGGCTCAGCACACATAGATTTGAAAACTGTGGTTCTTAAGAAGAAGAGACAGGATCTGTTGGGTGTGTGTTTCACACCACCTTGAAGGTGCTCCCTTCCTGGCCTGCCTGTCCCGTCGTGGGCACGGTTCCTCACTGAGGCTGGAGGTGGGATGTGGGGAGATTGGCTTTAAATATGAGGACATTGTGATGGAGTCTTAGAATGGGTTAATCACTCTTTGAATTGTTCTTAGTTCATACACCACCTCCTGCCACACAGCAGTGGGATTTTATGCACCAGTTTAGTTGTTTTCCCATTTTTGGAAAAAAATGAAGTAATTTACATTAATTTTTGGAGGATTTGGGGAAAAGCAAGAAAAAGATACTATGTAGTGATAATAAAAGTGCTTAATACTATTTTCTATTGCTATCCACAGGTTTTAATCATATTCTGCCTTATTTCTATGTGATTTATTTCACCATGCTACTTGTCCACCGAGAAGCTCGTGATGAACGCCGCTGTGAGAAGAAATACGGCTTGGCTTGGGAACAGTATTGCCAGCAATTTCACCATGCTACTTGTCCACCGAGAAGCTCGTGATGAACGCCGCTGTGAGAAGAAATACGGCTTGGCTTGGGAACAGTATTGCCAGCGTGTGCCATACCGTATATTTCCATACATTTACTAACTGTGGTTCTAGCGTATTTTTTAAATGCTCCTGCAGTTCTGGCTTCCATTTTCAAAACAAGAAAAAAATCCAAAACAAATCTCCTTTCGGTGCACTGATAGGCTAAGTTTTTTATTTCTTTTTGAGTCAGGACTATAGAGCCTAGTAGTAAATATTTTAACATAGCTGTGTTTATTTTTGTGAAATCACAACAATTAACATAAGGAAAAATATAAATAAATTTGCATTCTAATAGGAAAATTTCAGTTCCAATCTTAAAACAGCAGATGGCCTTATAAATGTACTGAAAAGAGTGCTATTGATGTTTATTCTGATAACTTTTCAGATTTTGATATTTTTGTTTTGTCCATTGTTTTTTGTTAAATGAAGATACATATAAAGTACATTTATATATTACCGTATAGAATTTTCATTCGTTTCCCTTTCAGTTAAACCATTTATTAGTTCTGTGATTTGAAAGTAAAAACCAGTTGTGTATTAAATGCCACATGTGAAGAGGGATGACAGATTAGCAGACACTGTTTAAGGGGCACAGTATAGCAGTTTGATTAACTTCAACTTCTAAAACTACATTTGAAAATGTAAATACATAACTTTTATGTAATGTATAGTGACTTCATATTTTTCTGTACAGTATTTTGAATGTGAAATAATTGTCAGGACTAAGTATCTTTTAAACAGAAACATTTACAGTATTTTAAATTAAGTTTTGTAAAGTAATACATGTGAGTTAAAAATTTTGAAACAATTAGAATTCATTTAGTATTGTATAAAAGATACTATCAAAACATAGGAAGGGTATTTTTCTCAATCCAAAGTTTGTGAATTTAGCTTCGCTACCTCAACAAGTGTTTGTTTGCCTTTATGAACTATTGCAAATGAAAATATATATATATATTTTGAGTAACAAAATATATATATTTTGAGTAACATCACTATTTAAACATTTTTATACATATTGGTATTTGGAAATTTGCCATTTCAGGTTAATATTTTTTGTATGTTTTGACTTTTAAAAGTTAAACTGTTTTTGCTACTGTTCAGCTCATGTAGTTTATACTGTATTTTATACATTGTTTATATTTAACAAAGCTCTGTTCCCTTCATCTTTAGACATCTGTTCATCTAAAAACAATTTAAGGGAATAGTTTAAAATCATTTTTGTCTTTTGGTTTAATAGATGTGCATAAGGTAGTTTTAGCTGTTAGATTCTAGGTAAGTTGAATAGTCCCATTATTAATTGTCCTATAATGGAACAGTAGCAAATTCACTAAACTTTTGTATTCAAAGTTAATGTTCTCAGTATCTTAAACATAGGGGAATCTAATAAATATAGTGTGTATGCTTGGGTTTTTAGTGACACATTTTATATAAGAGACATTTAGATATGCAATGTTCATTTTCCACTGTGATTTGGAGTGTATGGAACTTAGCTTATGTTAATGTAATCATGAAGTAGATTTGCTCTAACATTCTGTATCCTGTAGTCTTTAAACAGGTGTTTTGGTGAAATTGCCAGGGTTTATTAGTACCAGTGTACACAGGCAGTTTTTTTATTATGCTTGCCTCCTAGCATTGGGAATGGTGCCCCAGCATATTCTGCCAACTGTACTCACCGAGGAGGCTTTGGAGGGGAGGAAGGACATTTCTCTCTTTCTCTGGTTATGAGGAAAGAGCCTGTTGCCAACAGAGTGCTGCAAATTCTAGATAATAGCTGCAATTTGTTTTTGTTTTTGACATGTTTATTTGACCAGTTTTATTATGAAGTTTTAAGTTGGAAATAAAAAGACATTACTTTGATCACTTGAGAGCCTTTCTTTTTTTTCACCTGTAATTTGGATCATTTGGGATCAAAACAGGAGCCCTTAGTTGACCACCTCCCATCCAACCCAATTTTTTTCTAGGATCATTTGTCTGGGACCCTCAAGGACCACAGGGAATCCAGAAGGCAAATGCATCTCCGGCCACTTGCTCTTTATGTTGAGGATTCAGAAAGCTGGTGCTTGGGGCCGTGGGGTTAGTTGAGGGCCCCAACCCCCAGATAATGGGTGTGTGCTTAGTATTTGCTATTTGAGGACACAGATGAATGATCAGAACCACAGTGGAGTTTGTCATACTCAAATGAATCTGTGTTCGTCTCCAAAGCCTCTGTGCCCTGGGGAAGACAGTGTGTGTCAGGCACTTCTGTGTCATGCGGTGAGCTCAGGAAAGTCAGCTTGCTGTGGCCCAGGACACACAGTCCCTGAGTGAGAGCCCCCGCGGACGCCCAGCAGGCTTCCTGTGCCAATAATGCAAGCTGGGAGACTGCACTGCTGGAGTTTGCACTTTCGGAGGGAAGCAAGAGGCTGCACCTGCTGGGTCTGGCTGGACATCCAAGTGTTTTTAGGAAGGGTGTTCATGACATGTGGCTGTCTTGAGAGACAAATCTGCTTAGTCAAAAAATTAAAGGTTGGTATGGAGTTTATTTTTCATTCCTCCCACACAGCAAAGTCCACCTGCATTGTGATCCAGTGACTAAGAGGTTTCTCTGTGGTAAGCGCACTGATGTTAACCTTGAGGGTAAGTCAGGAGTTGTCAAGATCCATGACTTGTCTGGCGTCTAATAAACTGGGCATTCAAAAGTACAGAGCTGCGAATCTGCCTGCTGAGCATCATTTGGGTTTTCAGTAGAAATCTTAAAAAAAAACCTAGTTGTCAAGTTGTACAGTTTAAACACACCAATAGCTCACATTTTCTAGATGCTACATTTGGAGGATTTGCTACAAATGAAATACATGGTTAGGCACATGGAAATTCTGCCTGGAGAACTTAATTTTTAAAAGTAATGGCTTTATATCGCATATTCTTGAGAAATAACACTGGATGTTAGTAAAGCATCTGTTTTGGATTATAGCAGTATTTTGGGCTATTTTAAATGTTTGCTAAGTGAAGTACATCAAGTTTCCCTACTGAAATCTTGGGACTGGGGCCGGGAAGGAATGGTTTCTATCTGAGGGAAAGAAAGCCTGGGGGATTAAGATTTGGTGGTTACTTTTGTTGGCAAGAAGTGTATTTCAGGAAAATTACAACACAGCTCACCAGGCAGCAAGTCCTCCAGTATTTTTTGCTCATGGTTCCACCTTGTTCCCTTGATGAACAAACCAAAAAAGTGAATTCCCACGTGTGCACGGTCTGTGCCCTGTGGTCAAAGACATGATTGTCAGGGGGCCCTAGGCAGGACACTTCCTTTAATAGCTCATTCCCAGGACGCTAATCCCTTCCATCCCTCTGGGACCATCCCTGCCCAAGGCTGCTTCCCCACATTCTAAGGTGAGAACAGCAGCCCTGTTACCTGCAGGGATGTGATCCAAGACCGTCAGTGGATGCCTGAAACTGTGGATATACTTAGCCCTACGGATCCTACATTTTTTCCTATTCATACTGACTATGATAAAGTTCAATTTATAAACTAGGTATAGGAAGAAATTAACAGTAATTCATAATAAAATAGGACAATTACAACCTTATAATGTAAAAGGTGAATGGGTCTCTGCCTCTCAGAATATCTTAACTGTGCTGCACTCACCCTTGTGTTGATGTGAGAAGATAAAATGCCTGTTGATGAGATGGAGCAAGGGGACTGCCTTGGCTTTGTGACCTAGTGTCAGGCCACCCCTGACCTTGGGATGACATGTCAGGAGGAGATCTGCTCCGGCCTGCCATGACCGCGGGTAATGGACACCTTGGGGAATGAAACCATAGAGCGGGGGACTGCTGTGTACACTCAGTGGAATATTATTCAGTCTTAGAAATGAAGGGAAATCTGGCACCTGCTATCACATGGGTGAGCCCTGAGGACATCGTGCTCTGTGAGAGAAGCCAGTCACAGAAAGATACTGTATTGTGCCACTTATATGAGGCTACTAAGTTGTCAGATTTATAGGCAAAAGGCAGAAGGGTGGCTGGGGCCATTGGAATGGGGCATCAGGGATGGAGTCCCAATTTGGGGAGATAAGAAAGTTCTGGAGATGATGGTGGAGAGGGGTACATGACACAAATGTGCTTAATGTCACTGAACTGTATACTTAAAAATAGTTTAAATGGCAAATTTTGTTATGCATATTTTATCACAATAAAAATGGGAAAAAAGTAATACAATAAAAATTCAATTAAAAAAAGACATCTGAGGACTGACTCTGCCAGTTGTCCACATGTTTGATGAAAATCTGGGCGCCGGTGTGGCTGGGGGCTGAGTAGGACAGTGGGACCCAGGACACCCTGGAATCGAGCAGGCAACGGGCCCTCCGAACCCAAGGAGGGGACATGCTGGGAGGGCCCTGGCAGCCCCAACAGCGCCCGCCCAAGGCCCTGGGCCCAGCAACTTGCAGCCGCTCAGCTGCACAGCCCTGTGGGGAGGTTCACCCCAGGCTCTGAAACACCGCCTGCTGTCAGTCTTCCTTTCCACCAGACGGTAGTTACAGGGTCCCTCTGCTGTATTCATGTCAATCTTTTACTCAATTATTTCTATTTCAATTATTTCGATTTCTCTCTATTCCCCCAGACTAGGGGCGAGAAAGGCGAAGCCTGAGGGCACCTGCCCCCGAGGCCTGGCTCTCCCTACCCTGAAGGCTCTACTGGCCTTGCCTAGTTTCTTCTCCATGAAGACAGGCACTTCCTCATCCTGGGTGGCCGCGGTGTCGGGGATCACGTGGAGGATAAACGAGAGGGCGTCCAAGGAGATTCCTCGCGCCCGTCCGTAGTCTCGAAGCACAGCAGTAAGAAAGGCTTGGGAGAAACACCCACCGGTTCCTCGTGAGTCTCGGGGACTTGGCCGTGGTTCCCTAAGGCTCCCGGGGTCAGCAGCACTGATGCCACACGGTGGGCAGAGCGGAGAAGGAGTCTGGAGAGGCCGGGGCAAGAGCCCAGCTGGGTGGAGGGGCAGCTTGGTCTGGCGGCTGCAGGGCCTTCTGGGCAGGGGGGGTGGCTTTTCAGGCCCGGTGCCCCCCATATTTGTGTGGGTCTAGAGGGGCTATTAAATCCTGACCCAGTCTGGGCTGATCATAGCACCTCATCCTCCTGGCAACAAGACGGGTCCCAGGGACAAGGACAGGACCCACTGTGTCTGGGTCTTCTTGGGAGTGGTGCTGGGAAAGGAAGTGCTTTGCCTCTGGAGTCACCAGCCTGCTCATGGCCATTCTCCCTGTGGTTGCATGAAGGGCTATGTGCAGCTGACTAAGGATGAGACCCAGCTGTGGAGGCAGAGCTCAGCTGTGAGGAAGCAGGCTGAGAGTGATGCAGAGAATAGTGACCCTGTGGCCCCTGCAAAGTCAGTCCCTCTGCCCTCGGGGGTCAGTCTGCCCTTGGAAGGCAGTGGCCTGGGACAGGGCCGGTGTCGGCCTTTGGTATCCCAGATCAACGGCCTAGAGATGAGAAGGCATGACACCTGAGCAGGGGCCGGTGAGACCCAAGGAGGGCCGTCTCTTCTGATGTGAGGAGAGTGGTGCGGGGCTAGGGAAGGAGAGATGGCCCTGGTATCTGCAAGGCCTCTTGTCCTAGAGGGAGAGGAAAGGGCACGAGGTGGAGGAGCAGGAACCGTGAGCCTGAGGCAGGTGTGGGGCTGGCCTCCTGCTCACCTTGCGGGAAGAAGAAAGCCCGGAGTAGGTACCTTGCTGGAAACCCTTCCAAGAAGCCACTCTTTTGATCGGCAGGTTGTCTGGGTTTTTGGCTAGATGGTGGGTGGCACAGGTTGCTTCCCAACCATGACAAATTTCATAGACCTGTTGGAAGGCAGACCACAGGTTGGGGAAATTAAGGGTGTGATGATTGCACTCTCAGGTGATCTGAACAAGTTCCTCCAGGCCCTCCCAGGTCCTGCCTCTCCTTTTCATCTCTAGCTCTCCCCCACCAGGAAGGCTTGTCCTGCGTGTTCATGGAAACCAGATCGTGGGACCACAAGGTGCTGGCAGCATGGGCAGGTAGCGTGCAAGGGAGGCCTGGCTGGGCCTTGTGGGCCCTCATGGACTGCTGTTGAGTGACTGGCTTCTCTAAGAGGATCTGTAACACCACTCACTTGCAGCTGAATGGTTCAAGATGGAGTTTGGCACAAAATTTGGAACCAGATTTTCTAGGTTCAAATCCCACCACTCCCCTTCCTAGTTGCAAAAACTTGGGCAAGTTACTCCTTTTCTTTGTGCCTCAGTTTCCTCCTAACAATGATGATAAATGGTACCCACGTCACGTCACTGGGCTGCTGTAGAAGTCAGTGAGTCTGTGTGAGTGGAGTCGCATAGGCACACAGTCATGCCTTCCCCACCACCCTGATGGGTGTATTACACCCACTTAAAAACTACATGCAGCTGGTCCTTATTTCTCCCGTGGTTTCGTGGGACAAAGGGCAGAATAGCAGACTGACATCTGCCCTGGGCTGGGGTCCATGTCTGTCTCCCTGGGTCAATGACCATACACGAGGCTTTAACTTCTCCTGTCTCTGTTTCCTTCTAAACTGCAGATAAGAATCCCTCTCTTGCTTAATTCACACGTTGCTGTGAGAACCCAAAGAGGCCAAGCATGTGAAATTACATTGTAAACTAAGAAGCTCTAATAAAAATAAGGAAGAAACCCAAAGGCTTTCCCCTGCACTACTGATGGATCACTGTGTGCGCCCTTTTGGCCCAGGTGTTGAAGAAATTCAGTCACTGGATGAGATCATCAACCCAGGAACTCAGGGGTTTACATGAGTTGTAGGCATATTTCTGTTGGGATTTAGAGAGAGGCACATCATTTTTTTTTTTTTAGATTTGTCTTTGGGGTGGTTAGAAAAATATCTGCAAACTTTGGTAACAGATTCAATTGCCAGGCAGAATTAACTTGGCAGGAGGATTTTCCAGCTGAGTACCTAATGAGGAATTGGAAGACAATTACTAAGGGGAGACAAGCATCATTTTAATAGTGATTTGCACAAAACATTTAGGATTACATCCTGGCTGATGACTCACCACTTTTCTCAAGTCCTTTAATCCAATCTATGCTTCCACCCTCCCCAGCTCACTTCCCACCCCCTTTTGGGCAGAGTGCCTTCACATGCCATCAGGTGTGAGCAATTTCAGCCTCCTGGCCTTCTCCCTTATGCAATTCTATAACCCCACCCACTGTCTACCTTTTCATCCCCCTTCCTTCAAGTTCAGTCGAGCTAGTCAATCTGTCTGCTGTGCTGGGCACTTCCGAGGTTTCTTCTTCTGCGACTTCTACTTTCTGTCCTCCACCCCTTTGTTAACATGCTCTTCTATCATGAATGCACAAACCACCCCACACTCTAGTCCACTTGTTTGATCCTCAACAAAATGCTAGCAAACTGAACTGAATTCAAGGGGATCACATTAAAAAGATCATAAACCATGTCAAGTGGGATTTTTCCAGGGATGAAGGATGGTTCAACATGTGCAATTAATAAGAGTGATACACCACATAAACAGAATGAAGTATTGGTGTGAGATCAAAATAAAATTCTGCATGGGACTCATCGAATTTCTCACAACTATCAGTTCTGGAAAATTCACAGCTTATCCCTTTAATTATTGCATCTGCTCTATCCTCTCCCTTCTCTCCCTCTAAAGGTCAATTAAACTTCTGTTGGATCTTCTCACTTTGCCTCTTGAGGATCTTAATAGCTTCCTTGTATTTTCCATTCTTTAGTCTCTTTGGGCTTACTCTGGACACCTTCTGATCTAGTCTCTGGCTTACTAATTCTTTTTACAGCTGTGTCCAATCACTTGTCAATCCTGTCCATTGAGTTTTAAATTTTATTTAATGTATTTTCATTTCTAGATTCTTATACAAATCTGCTTGTCATTTTTAATAGTTTCTCATTCCCTGGAAATATGTAGCTTGTTTAAATCTCTATTCCTTCAAATATAGTATTTTGTTGTAATCTGTCTGATAATTCAAGTCTGGGTATTTGTATCAGTTTTCATCATCTATTTGCGATTTCTCCCTCATGGTGTCTTGTTTTCCTGTGTGCTTGCCTGTTTCTGATTATTGCTCATCTATAAAATACGTGAGGCATGCCCTGAGGCTTAGAGTGTGGTCTCTTCTCCCTGGAGGCTTGCTCCCTGTGAAAGTCACACTAATCTGGGCTTGGAGTCCTTTAAGGAGGAGTTGTGGTTCCCTGTGGCCCTGGCTCAGGCCATCTCTTCTGCCCACTTCTCCCTGCCTTGTGTTCTTTTTTGTGCAAAGCAACTCTCTCCCTGGGTGGGATGGTAGGGAGGGAGAGGACAGGGCCTGCTCTGGCTCCCCCTTAATGTGAGTGTCATCTTTTGGAGTATGTGTGTTATTTATCAGACACCCTGTCTTGTGAGGGCCTTGGAATTAGCTTTTGCTCCCCACCCCACAAAAACCCTCCAAACAGATGACTGTTTTGTTAGGGTTACCAAATGCCCTCAGGGCTGAATCACCAGTATACTCTTGACAGCTTTGTATTTTCTTGCGTAAGTTTTGGCCTGTTAATTGTTCACTATCTTTTCAGCTCTTTGATATATTTGGTAATATTAAAAATTTTTAATCAAGCCTTTTTAGTTGTTTTCATCGAGAATTTGGTCCACATAACCTAGCTTGCCATTACAGGAAAAAGAAGCTATACTTTCTTTGGAAACATTTGAAATTTTATATTAATTAAAAGACATGAATATGATAAAAAATCAAAATAGTACAAGATACAATGAAATATAAAATGTAAATTAAAGCCTCTTTCCCTACATTCTAGACCCTCAAGTCTTTGGGGTCTTGAATTTAGGCATATATATGTTTTTTATAAGCATATATATATACACATATAATCATATATGATTCATATACATATATATGTTTTTATTATCTTTAAAAATGATATATTTTTCTGAAGGTTTAAAATATTTTAACAATACATCTTAGAGATCTTTCCAATCTGTACATACCTCATTATTTGGATATTTAATAGCTTCCTATTCATAGATATTCAACTTGTTTTCAGCTTTATGCTATTATGCACAATCCTGTGATAAACATCTCTTAGATAAATTCGTTCAAGTGTATTTGCCAACTTGCTCTCTAAGGGGTTTTCTTAATATGTATCACACCAAAAAATAGGTGAGCATCTTTTAATGGTTATACCATATCTCATCACGTGCATGCACTGAACTTACCCTTTCCCTGGAACTGGAATGTTTACTTCATTCAAGCAAGTGTAAAGGAAATAATTGCTCACCTGCTACAGTGCAGGCACTCTCATGTTAAGAAAAGAGTCATATATTTCCTCCAGTTCTTGGGTGAGGTTGATCTCTCCTTTTATAGCAAGTTGAAGATCTTTCAAAGATTTATGTATAACAAATAATAACATCAAATCATTCAATTTCTTAGCTCAAAAAGGTTAGCAAGACACAGTGGATTAGGGGATCATAGCCTGGTTTAAAAAAAGAGATAACGTTTTTATATTTTTCAGACAAATTGAGACTTACGTGGAGAAATACAGGCTTTGGAAGTTAAAGGGACTTCATCTGTGTAGACCAGGGATTGAAACACGTTTTCTGCAAAAGGCCAGCTAGTAAATATTTTGGGCTGTGGGTCATAATGCTTCTGCCACAGCTGCTCAGCCCTCACCGAGTGGTGGATGTAAGCATGGACAACTTGGAAAAGGGTAAGCAGGCTTCTCCAATCAAGCTTCATGTGGGCACTTGGTTTGAAAGTCAGGTAATGTGTGTCATAAAATATTATTCTTCTTTTGGTTTTTTTCCAACCATTAAAATATGTGAAAACCATTTTAGTTTTCAGGCTGTGCAACAACAAAGGATGGGCTGCATTAGGCCCACAAGCCCCACTTTGCCAAGCACTGACGGAGACTCAGCAAGAGTACTTACTATTTTAATAGACTATTGCTCAACATTTGATTCCAAAATGAATCTTTTTACAGGGCTAACGTATAGATGTGGAAAATCTAACCAGGCACATGACCGCAGGCCAGCACCTGGCCCCTTCGGGCGACCCAGAGCCAGGCGCCCAGGGAGCCTCTACCCCGCGCCGCCCCCGACGGCAGAGCTGGGGACTCAGGGCCCCACCGTGGCCGCCTCGGCCGCCCTGCCCGGTTGGCCGTCTTTCTGGATTCTTACTTGGAGTCTCTGCTGCAGCGCCGTTTTCCTCTCTGCGATCACCTTCCCCAGCGGAGGATAGGCGGCGGTGCTGAGCTGGTCCCTTTCCCCCGGTGGTGCTCTGCCCCCTCCCCACGTTCCCGGGACGCGCGGCCCCAGGGGAGGGGACACGAGCTCCTGCCCCACCTTTGAAGCATTTATAAAGGGACTCCCAGAGGGGGCTGGATAGGATGCACTTCAGCGTGCTGGGGGTTCCCGCGCACTCCACAGACAGAGGCAGCCGCTTTGTCACGGTCGAGAGGATTTCCGTCGCCGGGTCATCAGCGCTGGGCTCCTGGCTGCAGGAGAAATCGGAAAGGCGGTCAGATCTGGCCAGTCCAGGGGCCGCCTCACGTCCGCCCGCCGACGGGGAGCGTGGCTTCGCGGCACCACAACGGAGCCCGCGGGGTTCGCGCGCTTTACAGTGCACCTTAGACACCTGTGGGGAAATGCGTGTTTTTAAGGTGTGCTTAACATTTATCTGCAAAATATTCACCATCAGAATGCATGTGCATGAAGGAAAAACCAAGACTGAAATAAAAAGAGACCGCAGCCAGGCGAGCATGATGTGGCAGCTTTGCCGTTCGTCCAAGGCATGTTCCCACGCGGGCTCCAGACAGGCGGGCGGCGGGTGGTTGCGGTGCGTGCGGGCGTGGGCCAGTCTGCCATGCTAAGCAAAGCCAGAGGGTGGATGCTGGTGGAGCTCCGTGGAATCATTTTAAATACAGTTGTGAGTAAAATTGTAGTATTTCCAGAATATTTCACCTGGCTTTAGTACATCTGCGTATCAACAGGCACTCAAGGGTGGAGAGAAGTATGGTTTTAGGGCATTTGGGTAATTCCTCAGGGGTGGAGAGAAGTTTATCTCCATATCAATGGGTAATTACCTGGGCAAGGAGGGTGTGTTTGAACCTGACAGGTTAAGGGGAGGAGGCTGGTTTGCTTGCTGGCTTGCTTCTTCAGGAGGAGAGAAGAGAGATGGTTCTGGACTGCACTTTGTAAGCAATAAACGGGTTTTAAACCTTGTTTCTCCCTTTGACCGATTTCGGTTTTTAGAGGTATTTTGCCCCGGGATTTCCTCTCCCCAGACTTACAACAGTAAACCAAGCTCAGGGGGCGACAGGGCCCGCCAGCAAGTGGGGGGTGAGTGGGGAATGGCAATGCCTCTGGAGTCCCTCTCTGTCACTCTATGTATCAGTGGGCACTGGTTTTTCAGCAAACATTCCAGGTTTCACCAACCAGATGGATGTTGTCCTTCAACGGTGGTAACAGTCTTAAACTACAGCTGTGCATTTGTTCACCAGTGCTGTTCTGAGACAGTTTACAACTCATGCTAAGTGTTGTATCCTTAGTTTGTTGATACATTTGTTTTTTACTTTAAAGTAGGGTTGCTCAGTGGAACTCACCCACAGTGGCTTCAAATAATTTAAAAGATCAAAAGATTTCAAAAAGCAAACTTATCTTCAAGGGCAAGGTTTGCTATACTGACGACATCACATTGTCACATGAATGCCTCAGAGCTCTCAAGTCAGGCCCCAGGACAAGTTTCTGATATGTTTTGAGCAAAGGCAGCCCAACTTCCTCCCAAAATAATCCCAGGTTTTTAGTAAGCACGTTTGGTATGCTTATTAAGACCATTACCTTATAATCATCTCATCCCTCACTAGTGTGTTTGTTGTATGGTTAAAGCACAGAATTAATCTTCAATGGTGCAGGGCCTGGGGGAAGTTCAGCTTGGCCATGCGGGGCCATCTGGGGGTTTCCACCTAGGTGTCCTTCTTTCTTTGGGTGTACAGCTCCTCTTCTGTGTCACAGAGTATGAATATGCTGCATATTCTGTTAGGGAAGTGAGAGTTCAATGATCTTGATTTTGTAAGATAAATTCTAGCCGGAATAAGCAGGCAAAGAGAGGCAACAAAGGGCCGGGTAATTTATTTAAATACTCCCCGGTGAGGTTCTGTGGCCTTCTTGTCACAGGCCAGAGAAGTCACACCCGGTTGGGGAGGTAGGGGGCTTATAAGGGATTAGGAGGGGGAGGAGTGGGCAAGCTATCCTAGGTGGTGTGGAGAGGTATGATTGGCTAAAGGTGACATAATAGACAACTAGAAACTTTTTTCCTTCCAAGAGGGAGAAGGCTGACATCCGGGTCTTAGTTGGCACATCAGGATGGAATTCAGGGAGAGCTGTCCCCTTTCCATATATGGCATGGACTTTGGGGGCTGGTCTGTTCTCCCCCTATGGCATCTCTCTGTTCTGTTTGCATGTCCTTGTCTTTCCTTTCTCCAGCCTAACAGATTTTGTTCAGTGGAATGACCTTGGAAGATAGTCAGCAAAAGCCACAGTGAGATTGCCTCACACCCCATTTTTAATGAGTTGTGTGGGCCAAAGAGACAGGAAGACAGTACAGGATTCCCTTGGGTTCAGAGGTTCTACAGGTAGATGGAAACGATATGCATGTTGTCAAGAGCCAAAGAAATGTAAAATCCAGTATGTGAGGACATAGAACTATTAGGTGATAAACAATGGGAATCCAGGTGTACAGGCAATGTGACCCTCACCTCACAGGGGCTGGAGTTATTATCTTAATGACACCAGTAAGTGGTTCAAGGCTCCTTGTGAGTGTTCTGGTTAAGATCTCTGTTTTGTCTAGTTTGCTTGTTTTTTTAACCTTAAGCAAACTGAGAAGGCAAACTAAAAAATCTTGCAAAAAAAAAAACCGGTCCCTGGTAAAGCATCTTTCAACCCTGGGAAAATTTAGAAATCTGAGTAGCTAGGAATGACCAAATTAAGATCATAGTAAAAATACATCATGTGAGGAGTCCATGTTGGTAGTGCTTAAGGGAATGTGGGCTCTGAAACCATAAGGTCAGCCTGGGGCCTCCAATTTAAAGCAGGTAATTGAGAAGTCAGTTTAGATTTATGATTTTAAGTTGAAATCCAGTTAAACTGATATATTTGAAAGCATAAAAGAAATTAAGATTCATTGCATTTTAATTATTAGATTTTTAAAAATTATTGAAAGACTTTGAAGGCCTGGCAATCAGATTGTTGAAGTATATTAGCTTTATGATGAATATTAATATATTTGAAAGTGTTTTATTAAGTTTGTAGATGGAACCAAAGACTATTCAAAGAACTTTTTAAGATGATTGTTAACATTTTTTCAATTTACAGTTTGAAAGATTAGATTTCTAAGATGAACTTAAACGTGCAAGAAACTTAGAACAGCTTTGTTAGGTAGGTGCTGGTATCAGTCTCTGACTTAAAGATGATGAACCTGAGATTTGATGAGCTCCCAAGACCCCAAAGCCATTAGCTGGAGCTGGGATCTGAACCAGGCTTAGTGAGGCAGTCAAGGCAGGTGATTCCTGGGCAGGTAAGAAGAGCACCCCAGGAGGTGCCTGGAGGCAGCAGGCACACACTTTACCGGGGAGGGAAGTGTGGGATGGCCCCTTGGGCCGCCAAGGCTGGGAGGGCTTGGCCACAGGGTGGGAGCATTAACTGTTGAGATCTTGTTTTCTAGTCACTGCCTGAGGGGGCCTGAGGACTTGGTGACATTTGTGCACCACTTAAACCTCATGACAGCCCTGATAGAAGACAGGCACTCTCTCCATTTACATTCTCCTTATTGGAGGGTAAGGGCATGGGGCAGCGTCACCTTGGGTGCAGAACTAATGAGAGGCTTGATCAATATAGGCTCCAGAATGCGGGCTAGCTCCTCTTACTTTTTAGGATGGTCATCTTGTCCTGTCCTGTGGAAGTAAGTATGACATTTCATATTTAAACTAATCCAGTTTAAAACAGCCATGTGCCTGGTACAGCTCACCCTCACTCAGAGAAGATTCAGTGAGTACCTACCACAGGGTTGGTAATTATAGATATGCATACGCACATGGGTGTGTTTGTTGTACACTTGCTTCTGTGTCATTTGGAGAATTTAGTTTCCAAATATAGAATTTTAGACTATATATTTAGATTGTATCTTATACTGGATTTTAAGACTGTATTTTTTTATGAGTTCTATACTGTATCTCTTCAAATTATTAAATATTTAATAATTTCCAACCAATAATTTTTCCTCCTGAGTTCTTACCTGATCATGAGGTTGGCAGAGGTGGCTCTTGGCTGCATGGCAATGAGACTGTCAGTGAACTTCTGGCCCTGGATCTCCCTGTAGCTCCTTGTGGCCTCAGGGTACACTCCTAAGGGCTCAGCAGGGTCATCATCAGGCAAGGACTGGACAATATGTATGTAATCTTCTAGGCTTGCAGATTTTGGCACTGGCTGACATATCTGTAAATTGAACCACCTTGTTAGTTTTTGTTTAATGAGGTACCTACTTTCAGTAAATGTGTGAAGACAATATTTCCCCATGAAACTTTATATAGAAGCCTCTTCTTTTTAGGAGGTATATCTAGACACTTCTGTCGAAAGCTGCATTGGGGCCACTGTATTTGTAAAGTGCAGCTGCATGATATACACATAGAACTTTCTCTGGGGAAAAGACAGAAAGTAAGAAAGAAAACACTAAAGACTCAAGAAATTCTGACTACATGTTGCCTTAGTGAACTTTACCCAGTGGGTAAAGGGATGCCATCAGCTTTCACAAATAATTTACTTTGGTGAAACCTATGGAGAGAATGTGAGAATGATCTTTAAAATCATTCTGACCACTGGTGGAGGTGGGGGTATAGGAGAAATGGGTGAAGATGGTCAAAAGGTACAAACCTCCACTAATAAAATAATTAAATTAAAAAAAATAAAAATGCTCTTTAATGGGGGAAACAAAGAGCTCTTTCATCCTGTTTACCAGCTGTATCTTCCCATCAGTGAGCTGTGACTGAGTGCTGATTGGATGAAAGCTCTGTAACGAGAGACACTGCACCTTTGTGTGGTTCACAGAGTCACATCTAAATGGGAGAAAACATGCCAACAGAAACCTATTAAATGATAATGATGAAGGTGGCCATGTTATGCTGATTAAAAATACATCCACGAGTTCTTTGATATGATCCCTTGAGAAGATGGAGCCTCATTCTCTCCTTGACTAGAGGTGGGACTGAGTGACTTGCTTCTATGAAGCAGAAATACAGTGGAGAGGATGGTGTGAAATATAGGAGACTAGGTCATAAAGGCACTGTGGATGCCTCTCCCTCTTCGGTTTACTCACTCTGGGGGCGCCAGGTGCCATGTGTTGAGGACACCCAGCAGCACTGTGGTCCCCAATGCCAAGGTGCTGCGGCTTCCTGCCAACAGTTGTGTAAGTGGGGTCAAAGGGCATCCTCCCACCCTGGGGAGCCTTCCTGACTCAGTCTCTACTGGTATCTGGGCTCTAACCTTAGGAGAAAGCTGGAGCCTGACCAACACAGCTACGCTGTCTGCAGGGTGTGTGGTGCACTCTTTGTTTATTGAAGTAGGTTATAAATTGATCCATAAGAAACCCATTGTTAGGGTCTAGGACTCCGGTGTTTCCCAGAGAACAAGACACACGGACACAGAGATGAAAATCTAAGCAAAGTCTTTATTCAACCAGCAAGCTGGGGTCGACAGCACCTCCCCTGACACGCAGGCCGAGTCCGAGCTGCCGACCCCGAAGCAACTTTAGGAACTGATTATATAGGATCTTCACAGCTGTTACACTAAAGCCCGCGCAGTTCTACAACCAATAGGTTTAAAACACACTCTATATTGTAACCAGTGGGAAACATTGTAACCTTTTTAGGGAACGCGCCAGTTGCCTGCCCGCTTCAATTGTTATCTCTTGCTTACCCAAGCATGTCTACGTGACTTATCACGGGTTACATCCCCAGGCGTTCCCAGGCTGTTGCCCACTTCTAGTTATCTAACTTAGGGTAGGCGGATTTCTCAGAAGCCTCGGGTAATTTACACAAGAAAAAAACTGGGTGGCTCTCGCTCTAGGCAGTCCGGTTAAGAGTCATTAGTTCTTTTTCTTGACTCTTGATGCTCTGTGCACTCCGTTACACCATAACATTTAAAAATGAATTGTATTAGCTTGGACTGGAAGGCACAGAGACAGTAAAACATGAAAAGAGGACTTCAGACCCTGTACAACTACAGACGGGAAGCAGCTGAGAAACTGTTTAGCTGTAAATGTGGGCTATTTTTATGGAACTGGAAGGAAAACTCAGAGGGAGGAACCAAAAGCCCAGTGGATGAAGACAAGAGTCCCAATCAGGGACCTGGCAGCGTCCACCTGAGGGGAGTCAGAAGTGCTGTGGCCTGGTGCCTGCTCTGTGCCTTCCATTTCTCCCTCTTTGAAGGGAAGTGTCTGCAGAGGCCTGGGCCTCCTGTCCTGGTCTGCGATGAGTATGGTGGTGCTGGGCAGACCGCTCGTCTTTTGGATTCACACATCTTCACGTGGAGTTACACCCAAGGAGCTGCACCTCACAGGGTCCTGGCCCTGATGCTGTCACGGAATGAGAACTTGTACAAGGGCCTCGGGTTGGGGTGCAGGTAGTTTGCATGTGGAAACAGTGTAAAACATTTGTGGCCAGAGGGTGGATTTTGGAAGTTTGAAAACATCACCCCCAAATTATTCAACTCTCCTCCCATCAATCAGATTCGTGGCTGTGTGGCTAATAGAATAGAGGACAGTTTCTGGTCTAGGCCTTATGTGTTAAAGAAAGAAAAAGAGTAACCAGTCATTGGCAAGGAACAGAAATGTGTTGTTCATCTGGCCAGGGAAGTGGTAGAGGGGATTCTTGCTATCTTCAAGGAAAACACCGAGTAATGAAACATCAAATAACAGAGTAACTGATAAAGAAAATTATCTGCAGAAGAAGCAAAGATTGTAACAAGGAGCAGGAAAACCTGGCAAGCTGGAACTGTCATACAAATGTCATAAGTTGTCATACAATTGCCAGGGTTTAAAGCAACAAAATAGAGAAGAGAGATGCTATCTGATCCTATTGCGGGAACCACTTCCTGACATATGTCTGTCAAACCATCAAGCTGGATGCCTTATGCAGAAGCATATGTCAATTATTTCTCAATAAAACTGGGAAAAAAAGCAATTAAATAATTGAAACATAGAATATGTGGGGTATATTCTGAGGTCTGACAGAATTCTGCCAGTGGAGTCTTATGCTGTGTATGCTGATACCATATTCCCTCATGTATACATAAGTTAGAGTGCATAAAATCCATGCACACTGTACTTTCTGGCAATTTAAAAGATTTTCAAGGATAATTTTATCTTAAGGGCTGATTTTAGACTCTAAACTTAACTAAAACGTTATTTCAAACAGTTTTTTAAAAATGGAAATCTTAAAAAAAAGAATTCATAGCTTTTCCTGCCTTAGCAAATAGTGTATAAAGGATATAATTTATTTAATGTCTTCCTATTGCCTCCGGCACATCAGCATAGACCATTACTATCTATTCTCTAGGTGCCTTTCAAATGAATCTCTCTGAAATGCCACCTTTACCATTTCCTCTACCTATCCACATGTACTCTCAAAATCCTCCACGGACAGCCTGGTTATGACCTCTTTCCTGCATCATCCCAGGCTTACACCCCATCTGCAGCACCCATGGGGATGACACCTCTGCCCTCTCACCTTCCATCCCCCTCTCCCGTACCAGTCCCCACCCACCCAAACTGATGCCAAGTCCTGCCTTGACCCTCCAAGGCCCAAGAGCTGCACAGTTTCCCCCCTGTTAGCAGCCATCTGCCAGGCCCAGCTCCTGGGGGCTACCCTGGACTGTTTTGCTCCACAAAGGGGAGGCCTGGCTGTGGGCTAGACATAGCGGAGAGCAGGCAGGAGATGCAGAGTTACGTCTTCTTCATGAACCTCTTGAATCTGGCTCTGCTTATTAGCTGTACATGCTCCCACCCTGAGGAGCTCAGATTCCTCATCTGTAGACTGGGAACGATACCTGTCAAAGAGAGTCTGAGGTTTAAATGAGATGCATCTGTAAACTGACTGGCATGGGACTGCTGATGATAAATGTATTTGCTTCTGCTGCCTTGAGCTTTGCTCCTTAGAGTCCAGGCTGCCAGAAGGCATGAATTGTTTCTTCGCTGTTTTTATTCACTGTATTTACCAGAGTAGCCTCCACACTGCCCCCAGCAGATGGCTACTAGCAAAGGGAAAACCATGCAGACCTTGGGCCTTGGTGGGTGGAGGCAGGACTCGGCATCAGTTTGGGTGGGTGAGGACTGGTATGGGAGAGGGGGATGGAAGGTGAGAGGGCAGAGGTGCCATCCCCATGGGTGCTGCAGATAGGGTGTGAGCCTGGGATGATGTGGGAAAGAGGACATAACCAGGCTGTCTGTGGAGGCTCTTGAGACTATGTGTGGATGGGTAGAGGACATGGTATTAATACAGTAACAGTAAATTATTTTTGTAATACTGGAAGTTAATAAAAGCCATTAAAAGTGAACACTAAATTTATTCAAATACAAATTTAAAATGATGCAATATTTTATTAAAAATAATCAAAGAACATGAGAAAATAAATTCCTTTCTAACCTCATCACTAAAGAAACTGAAGTCATCTTTCAGCACTTCAGGATTACAAAATTTGTACAGAAGGGTGTTGTTCAAACATCGCCTGTCCCAGCTCTCTGTCACCCAGCCACTGTAAACCATCTCCCCTATCAGGTAGCACAGGGTGGGCCACGGGGGGCTAGGCTGCCTGCTCAGGGTGTCTTCCAGCACATTTATGGCAACCTTCAGAAAATCCACTAGTTTTTATTAGTCCAGCATGTGTTTTCAGCTTATTTTGATGTTTTAACATAAAATTCACAACTCTCAAATCCCTACATATGTTTTCTCTAAAAAATATGGAATAGCAAGAGGAGTTAAAAACATTAGGCTTCCATTTTTATCTATTAATTCCTTTTTTGTTTTTGTTGGACAAACATTGAACTACTTAATTATTGTTATTTTTTGAATAGACATAACAAGCATGTGGTACTGAATTCAGAAGGTACAAAAGCATAAGGGAGCCTGAGTTTCCTCCTGCCTGCCCTCCTGCCCTCAGTCCGTCCTGAGGCCACTGCCTCTGGCCGGCTCTCACGCTTATGCAGATGTTTTCTGCGTCTGCCACACACCTGTGGACTGTGCTGCGCACACCTGTGGACCAGGTTCTCCCCTGTCCTCTCCACTCTCCTTCTGTACCTTGACCATCTCTCAACTCTTTCCCAGCTTCTGCATCTTTTCTTCAGCTTTCCTATCTTCCTTTCTGCCCCAAATGCTGGCTGAGAGCACACATGCTTGCAACTGGACAGATACCTTGGCTGTCATCATTGTGGCTCTAATGTACTCTTCCACCTGCAGTGTGTGGGAGGGCTCTGTCACCATTTTTCCATCCCTGCCACTAATAGGAGGTGTTGGCTGGTTTAATCTTTCCAGCCTGATGGGTGGTACTTTGGTGTGAGTTTATTTATACTTCACCTGGTACTTGCTCTTTTGAGTATCTTTTCTTATGTCTGCTGGTCAAGATTTGGTCTTTTGAACAGTACCTGTTTTTCCATTGGGTTCTGTTTTTCTTGTTAATTGGTAAGAGCACTTTTTATATTCTAAATATTGACTTAGTCATTTGCATTTCAAATGTTATCTTAAATCTGTGATTTGCCTATTGACATTATTTTGTCACCATTTGCCATAAATCAAATATGCCTATCTTTTCTTTTATTGTTTTGGGTTTCCAGTTTTGGTTAAGTAGTCCCCAACTGCATGATTGTACATGCAACCTAAATTTATTTTGAAGGATTTGTCTTGTTTTATAATATGTTTAAATGTTATTAATTTTACTCCATTCTGGAATTTTTTTTTATATGGTACGAGATAAAGGGCTAAAGTAATTTTCTCCCAGCTGGATGGTCAGTTGTGCCAGTTTATCACTTATTTAAAAAAAAATCCCTCTTTACTGAGTTAAAATACTTTCTGTGTCAAATACTGAAATTTCACATAATCTCAGATCTATTTCTGCATTCTCCATTATGACCCACTCCGTTGTCTATTTCTGCCCAGCAATACTGATTTTAGTACAGTGATGGTCAGTGTGTTGTGATGTCTGATGAAGGAAGGCTCCTGTAGTACTTTTATTTTTTGAACATATCTGGCTTATTCTTCAGTATCTCTTTATGTCAACTTTTTATTATTTATTAGAATATGATCAGAGAATGTAGCTCATAAAAATCGTTAAAGATTTTTCTTTGTTGCCATGTTCATGATTGAGATTTCTAACACTTCCTTAGACATGTGAAAAAACATGTACCATCTACTGGAGGATTTTTAGGTTCTACATACATTTGTTACTCACATGTGTTGATTATATTATTCTATTCTCTTTTGTTTGCACTTCAGAGCTATCTAGGTCTCAGAGATTTTTAAAAATTTCCCACATTAATTCCATATGAACATACATCTATATGTCTACTCACACTCACATACGTATGCTCTTATGGCTGCTCCAGTCCGCTATCGTCTTGACAAATAGAGACCATGTCGTGTAATGTCTGATGGCACCAACTGAAGCTGGACCACGTGTTTCAATCATGTCTGCTCCACTTGCTAATTAGGCAAATTACTTAACTTCTCTGTACTTCAATGGTACCTTCTTTAGGGGGTTGCTTTGAGGCTTAATTAATCCATAAAACACTTAAAACCATACCTGAGAGGAAGCTCTGTATAAAGTTGTCTGGCTGTTGTATCTTCAAAGATTATTTCCCTTTCTGTTATTTGGTGCTTTTCCAGATTAAATGTGATCTTCTCTGATATTTATATTGCCATTCCTGCTGTTCCTGCTGTATTTTCTTGGTAGTTTCAAGCTTTGTTTATTAATTTAAGTGTTTTTCTTGTACGTTGCTCATGTCTCAGTGAGAGAAATGCAGTCCATCTACACTGCATATCAGGCCTGAAAATGTTCCTGATAATGTTTGATGCTGTTCTGCGTTTTATCTGTTGTGTTCTCCTTCACTCTTACTTTTGATAGTTCAATCACATTGTTATTTATTTTCCTTTTTCTTCTTTGCTGATTTAGACATTATAGGGTTTCCATTAAGGGTTAAGTTTCCTTTCCTTGAATTCATATTAAAATAACATTTCTTTTTTCAAATGAGAAGAAGATACCAGTTATTTCTCCACCAAAGTGCTCCATTTCCCCATTTCTTCCTCTGCTCTCTAACCTGGTGGCCTGTGATAAGACGAAACATTTGGGAAGCTCATTCCCCCCTCCTCATGTGCAGGCTCCATCCCTTACATGCTGCTCCACTCCACCTCCGAGGTTTGTTGAGATAGTCCAGTGCTGTCCGCTTAAGACAAGTGTGGGGATTTTTCCGATGGTACAGCTACTCTTTTGACTTGCTCTCTTTTTAGTCCTCAGTGCTCACCTTGCAGGCTGGTGCTCCTGCTGACCTCACTGTGCCCTGCAGGGCCAGCCTGCATCCTGCCTGCCAGTTTCCTCTCTTTCCCATTTCTCTTTATTTTGGGTCTCTGTTGACATTCTATACATAGTTACAGATCTTATGCAAGCGTTTTCCACGGCTAGAGAACCTGAATCCTATGTTGCTAAACCCTTGCCCATGTGCAGATAGGGTGAATGATGTCTTGGCTGGGAACACGGTTCTCAGCTGCAGTCTTCTCCCATACTCTCCAGATGCCCCGTTGTCTTCTAGCCAGTGGTGGAAGGCAAGTCTAGGTCATCATTGTTCTGTGCCTTGTCCCAGAAGCTTGGAGCTCATGAATTTTCCAGCCCAGGCCCAGATCCTGTCTTTACAACTCAGCCACTTGTCGCAAAGTTTAAATTTGTGAGGATTTTCTATCTGCAAACTCAAGCCTGTCATCAGTTCTGGGAAGATAAAACAGCCTTTTTTTTGCTTCCCACAACCAATCCATTTTCTCAGGAATTTTTGTCATTTGAATGTTAGGTTACCCTTCAAAGGCTTCTTAATCTTTGCCTCCGGACATCCATTCCTCCTGCAACTTTCTTCCTATGCTTGGGTTACTCCTTCTATTTGATTTTCCTAGCTATTAACTTGAATTTCAACCATGACCATTCTTTTCTTCAATTCATCTAATCAGTTTTTTTTTTAAGTTCAAAATTCATGGTGTGCATACACAGCTCCAATCTGCTGATACAGTGTATGGACCTTATGCACTAATTAACATGTCTTGGCATATATGTGTAGCTGAGCCGCACCAGAACATAATGATGCCTGCCTTTTTTATTTTGTGGTTATGAATAATCTTTGAAGATTATTTATAATCACAAATGAGGCTAGGCTGTTAAGGCAAAATAAAAGCTCTAAAATTTGTGTAATAAGGAAAAGGATGACCACATCCCTTTTTAAAAATTCATTTTAGTATCATTAATCTACAATTACATGAAGAACATTATGTTTACAAGACCCCCCCTTCACCAAATCCCCCCCACAAACCCCATTACAGTCACTGTCCTTCAGCGTAGTAAGATGTTGTAGAATCACTACTTGTCTTCTCTGTGTTGCACATTCCTCCCTATGCTCCCCCTGCCACATTATACATGCTAATCATA